GACAACGGGTCAAATCACTTTCAACAAACTTTTCCCTACCTAATTGAAAAGGAACTTCAGAATGGAATTTGAATTATTGTTACTCCAGTTTTTAATACAAGTGCTCTTTACTAGTCTGGCTTAATATAATCCTTAGTCTTCTCCCCTTCATTAAAAATCACATTGCTCTAATTTCATCCAATTTACTCAGGCACTTTCTGTTCAATAAATTCAGGTGTATTAAGTATCAGTTCAAATGTTCAGAGCAGTGAGTGCTCTAAGCACTAGGGGAGACAACAAGTTTAGATAAGTATTTAAGGAACATACTAATAGGGGACTATGACACGTACACAGGAAATGAAAATATAAACTAAGGCATAAGAGTATTAGTATTATCCAGAGTGATATATGTAAGGTCCTGGGGACCAAGGGAATAGGAATGGGTACAGGAGGAAGGGTGGTGGACACAAAGGCCAAGAATTCTAAAAGACTCTAGGAATTCAGTTCCTAGATAGTGTTTCTAACGTGCATCTATTACTTTTTGGACTGAATATCAAGGAAGTCTTTACATGTACAAATCAAATTCAATTACAATGAGCAAAACAATAACTGTTGTGCTAGAAATATGCTGAACAGAATATATTTTAAATAAATGGACTGAGGCTTAGAAAACCTTTATATGGAGAAATTTTTTTTGCTGTTGTTTGTGTTCATACGATTTTACTTGTAATATCAAAAATTCAAACCCTTCTCTTTCATTATAAAAGTAATGTAAGCTTCCATTTCTCAAAATGGACCAGGCTTTTCATGGAAATAGGGTCCATTATCCACACACAAAGCACCACTTTCAGTAAGCTTGGCTTAGATATGCGTCCAGCAATTTACTGCTTCAAAGCTTTTCTAGTATGTGTTGAATCCTCATATTTTGAAGGATTTTCTTTATTACTCTTAAAGCTGTTTGGAAAACAGCTAAGTTTTAAAACAAAAAAAACTTTTAATTAGAAAAATTCCCCAGAAGCACCATGTAGATCTAGTCCTATACTAAACAATCATTAGATGTTTATATGTCATTAGTAAACTAGCATTTAGGTGTCTACTATGTGCCAACAAGAAAGGCAGAAAGCAAATTGGTTTATAAGATACTTAAAATCCTCAGAAGTACTTCAAATATTTTAAAGTGAAACTCTTGTTTATTTCTCTGAATAACTGTCATATTTTTTTTGGCTGCCCTTTACAGTGTGGATATCTAGTTCAGATAACTTCTAAAAACTTAGGGGCTTTAAATTTAATCCAGTTGTTACCTCTGTATCCCAGGAGTCCTGAAAGACAGGGTTTCTGCTACTCCGTTTGGTCTGGAGGAGATGACTGTCTTCTTCGTTCCCATTCCTTCTCCTTTTCCTGAAATTAAATCATTCAGAGAGAAAAAAATTAGCCAACTATCGATTCTTTGACTTCTCAAGTGTAAACAAGAAGACACAAATATTTTACATCTTGCCCCTAAAATGTCCTCCAAAACTTGAATAATCAAATTCATGCTATGGTGATTTAATATAACAGCACTACTGATAACAAAAACAATATCAGTATAAAAGCAGTATAGAACAAAATTAAGTTTTAAGTGTTAATTAGATTCAGTTCTAAAGACAAGCTTGAAAAATTTTTAAGTTAATTACCAGGAATACTGTAAGAATAAGCTATTAATAATGAAATTATCAATATCTACCTAATTAAGTTCATTTTTTTGGTAATCCCTGAAATTACAATTCCATGTTAACTAATTTTACTCCCTTCCATGTGATGGCAGTTAAGCCAGGTGTGGCTGCCAATCACTATTTACCCTTAAAACACTTTACAGTGGTACTATGACAAACACTGAAAAGGTTAGACTCTTCTCTTGTTAACCCAATTACTCAGTCTGCTTGTACCAGTTAGTATTATGACATAGTTGTTACTTCACTGGATTATCCTGAAGGGAAAAAAAAAACCATTTATGTTTTTCAAGGCTCACTGGTAGTAAGAGTTTTTAAATACAGGTCTCACTCTTCTTAATCAAAAGAGACAAGAATACGTTATGTACTCTGTATACGCCACAACTGTTAGAAAAAGGATCTCTACTGGGATTCTAAATAGCTGCTGAGAAACAATAAATTATAGTAGGAAAAACTTGCCACACAGTTTGAGCTAAATTTGCTCTAAATCCAACTTGTTCTTACTGCAATGAAAGATTATCTAAAGTTCATCTTCCATAACCAGAAGGCCAAAGACTGGGGTGGAGAGGTGAAGTCTTTTCTTTTCAAAGACTATTTAATCTTGGGCATATAGGGTGGCCTCCCACTACAGATACTTGACTTTAGAAATGTGTACAAAAATTTTAAAATAAGGAATAAGAGGCTGAGTCCTAAATCTCTCAGTTCCTTGAATTATGTTCTCCCTCTTGAATGTAAACCCTGTTAATACAGATAATGATCTCAATTTCTGCCTGGTCTGGTGGAAACGGATGTTTTCAGCTGTTACCAATTTTTTATGGGCCAAGTCTTCTCTCTGAGACTCAATTATTGAGCTGAAAAATGGAATAATCATTCCTGTTTTCCTTACTTTCTCTCAGGGGTACTGTGAAGAATATCACATCGATACAGTAATACTTTGAACTCCTTGGAGGTGGATGCCACACCGAAGGTATTATCATCATTAAGTGGGTGGGGGAAAAGCTCAGTTGCCTGATATATGGGCCTGAAAAACTGCTACCCTTGGCACTTACTAAACTACTGGAGTAAGGGGAAATCTAAGGAACTGTAGGGTAAGACTAAATCATTTATTTCATGGTAAAAAGAAGTTTCAGGTATGAATCCAACAATATGTATTTCCCATATGGCAGCAGGAGTAGGATCTTTTCTGTTGGAAATGTTTGAATTTTCAAAAATGAGGGAAATGCCCCAACAGCAAACCAACACATAAAGCTACCCTTTAGGAACAGCACTACAGAAACAGAATAGACTTTCACCACTTACAACAGAAGGTAGCTTGATTCTATTTATGACAGCATCACAGTATAATATCCCAGACCTCTTTTTCTATATGAGTAATTTCTATATGCCCCCAATTCAGTCCTTGGCCTCTTAGCTTCTCTTTCTGATCAACCATTCATGTATATTGATCATATGGACTTCAGGTTTTCACTTATCTGGAGGCTGGATCAAACAAAAAAACTAATTCTTGGAATTGGTTTTGAGGATAGTGGGGAGGGAAACAGTCATTTGATTAAGTGTCTGTATATGTTAATTAACTCTATAGTTAGTGAAAGACAAAACAAATCCAACAAATCTACCAAATTTGATAGCACCTGCTACTCAATGAAATTTTGACCCTAGTTCATAGGTTCATAATGGTTTTCTATTATGATTTTAGGGCACTTCACCTTTCTAGGCCTCAGTTTTCACATTTGTAAAATGAGGAAGTAGGAGTACATGATCTCTAAAGTCTCTTCTAGTTCTAAAAATCTACACCAACAAAATGATCTTGATTTCAAAACACTTGGATCTTTTTCAATTTCATTCTTTGGCACCTTCCCACCACCCCTCACCTCCAAAATAAACACGAGACTGTGCCGCACTGTAGTGGCCACTGAAAATTCTTGGTTTTTTTTTTTAACGACTCTCCCTGTATACAGGTAGTACAGCAAAGGCAGTAGGAAAGAGAAATAAAAGTTACAGAAAAAAGGCAAAGAAAAAAATCCAACTTGCTCCTTGAGACCGTTTACCTTAATCACAAACCGAAGAATAAAAAAACCAGCGTATGAAGGGAGCCAAGCACTGGGGCCAGACACAGGCAGAGTGTATTCCAAATGCCAGGACAGCTGATTCTCTCTTCTTCTTGAAGCTGTCCCAGGAAAATACTCCACCACCTCCCCTCGTTATCTGTCTTTCTACCACATTAGATCAACTTCATTATCTAAGTCCTTCCTTAGGTCTCACTCAAAGTCTTTTCCCATTGCAGTATAAAGCACAACTTCTCATCATCAAGGAAACAAGAGGTAACCCCATCCTCCCTAAGCAAGAGAACTAAGTATATCCATAGCTATCGAACCACAGGGTCAGGTTTAGTCCTCCCTAAAAAAGCCAGGGGCCTAACCTGCCGCAGCTCACCTTAAATTCCTACCCAGGGGAGGAGGGGAGAGAATGGGGTACCGCAAGGCTCCCAAGTGGTCCCCCTCGGGCGAACTACGGGATTCCGGGAGGATCAAACCTTCACGCCTCCCGTGCTGCTCCCGAGCCCAGCTGCCTGGCGCCAGGACGGACGGACGGAGCCCCCGCAGGGTCAATCCCTCCCGGTTCCCCGCTCCACGGCTCCCGCCCGCCTCCCACGGCTTCGGCCTCTCCGTGGAAGGGGGTGGAGGGATCCCCTTTTCTCACCTGGGGCGGAGGCGTTCGCTCATGGCAGCAGATGGAGGGCAGCGAGGGCACGTCGCCAGGCGGGGAAATCGGTGGAGAGATCTTCGGTTCAGGCGGCGGTAGCGGCAGCCGCCGCCCCCACGCCCTCCCCCTCCGGCCCTACCCCTCACTACTGCCTTCCTCTACGCCGTCGGTGTGGAGGACCCCTCCACCGGACCCGCACCACCACGACTTCCGGCGTCTCCCCGACCCCCCCACCCCCCCATACCACAGCCTCTGTAGACCCGCCCACTCGCGCTTGCGCAATTGGGCCGACCCGAGAGGCTCTGCAATCCCACCCACCGGAAGAGGAGGTGTGGCGAGCTGAGAAATTCGATATTCACCTTTCAGGAAAAGTGGGGGGAAAAGGGGGGGGTAGGAGAGCCGGGGGTAGAGGAGGGTCCTCGTATGTAGGTGTCCGCGACTTTCGCCTGTTCTCATCCTGAGAATTGCGGACACAAATCACATCTCCAAGTTACAATGGACAAGAAATCCATAAGGATATAAAATATTGGAGTTAAACTTGGGGTGGGGTTTGGAAAAGGAAAGCTCACAACCATCCGGCAGTTGAAGAGACAGACGCCGAGAGAGGTGGCCTTTTTTGTAGTCCTCTTTGGAGCGGCTGGAGGTAGCAAATGGAGTGTCCCGGAGAAGGGCGTGCTTGAGGGTTTCTTAACCTCCCCAGAGGAGAGGCGGGGAGCTCTCAAAGTGACAACCTGAGTTGTGGGGAGTCCCCTAAAAGGGACAGCCGCTAGTGGATTGCAGTGCTCCGAGATGGGGACTGACTGCTGACTCGGATCTCCACGCTCCCTCGGAATCCTAACGCTCGCCTACCTTGGAGTTTAAAGCAGGTGTTAAGGGAACGGGTCCAGGCTCTGGAAAGACCTACCCCAGCCGCTGAGCAGGCGTCCCCGTTCAGGGGATACATAGAAGCCATGAACCTACAGCACAGGGACCCCCGAGGAGGCTTCTTAGGGTCTTAGGCTTTGGAATTGGAAGGAACTCGTGCTTTTGGGAAAATCGAGGCCCAGAGAGGTATTGTGACTTCCTCAATGTAACACAGCTAGTTAGCGCAGAACCAGTACTCGAACCCAGGTTTTCGGACTCCAAATCCCTAGATTCTCTCCATCGCACCTGTTACTTGTACTCCCCTCCTTTCCTTCTTTCGAATCGATAAAAGATGTAGTGGAGCCTAGGGGAGGGAAAAGAAAAGAGGGACGCTAGATTCCGTGGAGCAACGAGAAGTTCAAGAACCACGTGGTGAGGAGAGGAAGGAAACGGTGGTTAAAGGAATTTATAAGTCGGGAAGGGAAGGCAAACAGGAAAATATAAGGATTTTCCCCTGATTAATGGACATGCTGGCAGCATGCCATCCATGAAATAGGTAGTCTTCGCAATAGAATGACATCCTTTAGAGTATATACTGTTGGATAGTTTGTGCCTGGAACAGAACCTAGCACGTAGTAGGTGCTTAATAAACGCTTGTTGGTTGGTGATAGTGAAAGCTGATCATTCAAAATCATTTCCATTTATAGTTGGAATGAGTGTACTTACTCTGTGTATTGCAGATTTATCTTCCTAAGTATGATTTCCTCGGCCATAGTGAAAATTAGTTTTAATTTCCCAAGAATAGACCAACAATTTAGGAAAAGGTGATCAAGAAGGACATTGGGGAAGGAGAAGAGAAACCCAGTGGTTTAAACTTGGCAGCACATGCATGAAAATTAGCATCTTAAGCCTTTGCTTTGGGACACGAGCTCTGCTAAACTCTAGGGATGGAGATGCTTAACTCGGATGACCACACACACAGCAGCTGTGACCGGAGAGGATCACTTTGATAAATTCCAGGAATGGCGAGTGGACCCAAAGGGGTAGAGATTGAGCTACTCTAAGAACATTGGGAGAGTTCATTTGATCATGGTATCTGAATTGGAGAGGGTAGTGAAGTGAAACATGTTTGGGGTTTCCAAAAATAACTGACCAGGGAATCAGTCACTGGTCAGAAAGGGCAGGAAGTTGCTTCAGGGGCGTAGTCTCTGGGGTGGATGATGATACATTTGGTAAGAAGGTTGTGGAGGATAATACAAAGTTGGCTGTGGCCTTTGGCAATATTTTAGGGAGGATAGAGTGAGGAAATGGGGAATAGTATTCAGTACCTGCAGTGAGGAGGAGCTGAATTCGAATTTTGCTTCAGACACTTACTAGTGGTGTGACTCTGGGTAAGTCATTTAAACTTTGCCTCAGTTTCCTCATCTGTAAAATGATATAACAACAGCACCTGCCTCCCTGGATCGTTGTGAGGATAAAATGGAATAGATAATAGTTTCAAAGCATTTTGCAAAATTTGAAGTGCAATATAAAATGCTAGCCATCATCATTATTATTGTTATTATTAAAGCTGCTAACTACCAAGCACTCTTTATGGTAGGGCTTTTAAATAGAGAATTACTGAGGTTTTAAGCATCTGTGAGAAAACCTACACTCGGGAAAGCGAACTTTTTTTCTTCTTCCCCAAAAGGAAGAAGCTTTTAACCAAAATAACTGTTCCCAAGCCCCCTTTCCCACCTCGTTTGTCTTGGCAGTAAAGATATTTTTGTTTTACCTGACTTCACCCATGAAGGGGTTATGGGATTACTTTGATAAATGGATTGATAGGTCTCTCCGGTTTCATTCTGTTTCTCGTGTAAGTTGCTTGCTCAAGCTGTCTATTTTCTAGCCTTGGCACATTCATCCTTGCTTTTGTGTCACAAATAATTACAGCCGTGATATCTTACATAGATTAGATATGTGTTTTTGCCTAGAGAAAAAAAATGACTGGGATAATAGGAAAAAGATATTTGCACCTTAAATTTGGAGTATCTTATGTCTAACTGGGGAGGTGAGGGAGAGAATGCCACTGATGTGAAAAGATAAGTATCTGCAAATTCTTGAATCCCTGAATCAATGTTATAGTTAACAGAGACCTCAGACATTATCTAGTTCAGTCTTTTCATATTATATATAGATGAGGGAATTAAGGCCCATTGTAGCTAAGCAACTTGTGCAGCACCATAAAACTGGTTATTTATCACACAGTGTAACTCGGGTCTCCTGATTGCCATTCCAGTACTTTATGCCATGCTGCTTATAATCCCTAAGGCACACTTCTTCTTTCCACCTTCAATGATGAAATGAGGGTCTTTATTAAAAGCCTTTATGTGCATTAATATAAATAGGAATAATTACTATGAAAGTTTAGTTGGTTATGTTAGCATTCAACATTTTAAATAAAACATCTAATAACTCTTAAAGCCTTAATGTTCACCTCGTATCTACTGGTGTGCTTCAGTGCTTAATGATAAATCCCATATTTGGCTTGTGTTTTAAATGTCTTTTCCTAGTCCTTCCTTATCCGTCTATTCGTTCTTTAGTTTAAGATTGTTGTCCTCTCTTTTCTCTCTGAAGCACTTAATATTTTACTGAAGATAGAACTTAGGATTGACAAGGAAATTCTCATAATTCTCTTCTGTAAATATTAATCCCTGTAAGACCTTAGGAGCAAATATAAAATTTCTCACTGAGGTTAGAGACAGAGATTTGAGTTTATTTTTAAAACAAAAAACTTGAAATGGAGTCATTAAATCCCAGCTCATTTCCTTGACGTTTAAGATGGGTATGAATGGGCACCTAACTGAACAGATGAAAAGGAAGTTTATTTTCTTTATAATAATAATATGTCATATTTATATTTCTTAGGAGGAAAATGGCAGACATCTTACCCCAAATGGAGCTGTGTCCCTACTGTAAGAAACAATTTAAACGGTTAAAGTCTCATTTACCTTACTGTAAGAAGGTAAGAGCCATTCTTCCATTTAATTCAGACATTACTCATTCCAACGCAGTTTTGTTCCAAGCCCCAAAGTCAAAGGAGCTGCAGAAAGAACCAAAAAAAGCTGATGATGAAGAGACACGTAAGAAAAGTCAAAGTAAAAGAAGAAACACTAACCTTATAAAGCCTAGAATACATAGTGCTGATTTAGAAATGAGAAACAATGAGCAGACAAGTGAAGATATGAAGAAGAAAATTAAAATTACCCCCCAAACAACACAGAATCCTACTAGACCAAAAAGGGTTGTGTTTATGGCTGAGAATTGGCATGTGCTTTCTGCAGAAAAAAAATATTCCAAAGCAAAATTTACAAAATATTTACCTATATCAGGGGAAGAAGACAAGAGCAAAAATCCTTCAGAAATTTGTTGGGGAAGCTCTTCCAAACAGTCTTCTACCAATGAAGATAAAAAACATTTTTCAAGCTTGCTAAATGGTTTCAGAATTGAGCACCCAGGACAGAAACTGCTGACAAAAACATTAAACTTGCCTTTCCGTGTTTGTGAGAGTTTTCCGAGTCTTGACAGGAGTCAGAATCCTTATGCAACTTTACAGAGCAATGAGAGAGGCCCCAAAGCTAGGGACCCCATTTCAGAAGCCTTACACACTGTCAATAACTCTGACACCCAGAGAAGAAACACAGGATCATTCTTCTCAGCCAATTGTGTAAACTCCTCATTGTACAAGACCCTCCAGACCAGAGGAGTGGAGAGCCATCATATGAAACATAGAGCAAAGGAAAAAGAGTTTCACTTTGGGTTAGAGGCAGCTGGAAAAGGTAGTTGGAATAAAGGATTTGAAGGCAATAAATCACCTGAGGTAGAAATATCAAAATCAGATTACATGAGGGATGGTCTTAGGAAACAAGTTAATACCAGTGATTTAGCCACCGAGAAGACACCTCACCATGATAATCCTGATTCACCCTTGTTACCTTCAGGGAAGCTAGCTTATGAAGAGACCCTTTCTTTGGCAGATTTAGGTAACCAAAGCTTCTCTACTTTGGTTTTACAATATCTGCAAGAAGAGGAAGATGGATACAAGGCTCTGGTCACTTCAGCTAATCCAGTGGAGAATAAGAAACTAATATCTTCAGAGCCTGACTCTGATCCCAAGACTTGGGCAACACACACTGAGTATCATCAGCAGCTTTTAAACGCAGTCTGGCATTGTGCTCCTAAAAACTTGACCAGTGGTCACATTCAAGCTACTGGCAGCAAAAGCCTACCTATGTCTTTGGGGCTAGAGTGGTTTCCAGAACTCTATCCTGGGTATCTACATCTAGGAGTGTTACCAGGGAGACCTCAGAAGGGGAATATTGAGATCCAGAAACCTCACCACAACTTCCCAGAAGAAGAAGGATCCTTACGAGGTAAACAAGTATTCTATTTTCAAATATTTAACCCTCCTGAAGGTCTCTTTATAGATGCATGTGACTGATAAAATTTTGAATTCCCATTAGTATTTTTACCAACTTTACCCCTTTCCACAGTGATAGTCTAGGTGCCTGACAGAATTATCATTGCCCCTTAAATGGTAGTCGTCCTGTGTGCATTTTCTAGGGCCAAGACTTTGGTAACTTCAAAAGGAAATGAGGAGGAGAAGGAAGAGTAAGTCCTGGGTATGTAATATGAATGTGGAATGTACTAATTTGGAGTAGGGATTTGATGCCAGGGATTTGGGCACCTAACCATAGAGAACTTGGGTTAAAAAAAAAAAAGAAGTACAGAAGGACTTCTATCCCACCTGACCTTGGTTAGTCTGCCTCTCCTGAGGCAGAGACTTCTTATTTGCTCCTTCTTCACAGTCAGCCCACAAGTAGGCACAGCCAACTGGAAGAGCTGGATATAGGTCTGGTGAACCAGGCAGTTGATAACAAGTCCTCACTTAATATTGTTGGTCTTTATCTTTTCATTGAGCTTTGCCTTTAGAAATGGAACCTAATTCTATAGTTGTTATCAATACGTTTTCCTTAAAGGTTTTTCCTTAAAAGGTTTTCCCTAAAAGGGCCCTTCTACCAGGTCCTGATCAGAAGCTTCAAAGCACTGTCTATCGTCTAAATAGATTCTTCATTGGTGTTCTCAAATGCCTCACTGTTTCATTTTGTCAGGAAATTTAGAGAGGACCCTTAATAGGTTTAAAACTCAAGTTAACTCTTGTGACTTGGTGTGAGAGGGAGAAGAAGGGTTGAATTTGGAGACAGGAGACCTGGGTTTGACTCCTAACTCCAATACTTACTTCACAAGAGACCTGGGGCAGTAACTTCTCATAACTTCAGTTTTTTCATAAGATAGGGATAATATTTACATTGCTGCCCCCTCATAAAGTTGTTGTAAGGAGAGGAAAACAACTTTATACACCTTAGGTTCTGTATAGATGTGAGCTGTCATCATTGCTCTTGCTTCCTATAAATATCAAATTTTTTTTCCAATGAGCTTTCTTAATTGTGCCTTCCTCCAAAGAACTCTCCTGTATACCACTGTTATCACATTTTAGTATGCAAGACAAATGTCTACATGATGATATTTATTATTAAGGAAGACTAATAGCTGATACCATCATTGTTTTTCACCTTCCTGAGGAGGTTTTCCCTTGGAACCTACTGATATCAAGGATTTTTATATAATCCATCTCTTGAAGTCTTGTTCTCAAACTCTTTCCCTTTCTAGAAGCACTATGTTGTTGATAATACCACTGTCTTACATTTGATTAACACTTTACAGTTTTCATGTAAATTATTCCATTTTGATCATGAAATTATCCCCATGAGACAGGCAGGACAAGTTGTGTTCCTATTTTATAGGTAAGGAAACAAGTGTAGAAAAATGAAATTATTTGCCCCAGGTCACGTAACACATGATACTTTAGTCAGGACTAGAACACTGGTCTCAGTACTACCAATTGCTTTCTGTTTTATAATACTATACAGTAAATATAGTATGGTAGTTTACTTACAACAGGAAAAAGGGATCTTTTTTGTGTGTTCTAGCACCCTTTGCGGGTCCAGTGGTAGTTACTAACCAGGGTTGTCATGAGGATGAAATGAGGTGATTGTAAACTGCTTAGCACAATGCCTGGTACATGGTAAGCACAATATAAATGTTAGCTGTTATTTTTTTTTATTATTGTCTAGTTTCCTTTTTAGGTGAAGGTCTTTCTGCCAGTCTTGGCAACTGGATTGGAATAGAGATGACCTGTTTAAACATCTCAGTAGGTAGAAAATTCCCTTTACTTCAGGCTCATGAATACAATCACTAGTGCTTGCATGCCTTAACTTTTTTCATCAGCTTCATTCACCAGAGCAGGTCAAGTAGCCAATACTGTGAGATTAAACTTGTTATGAATAGATAAGATTATTCCTCTAAGCCCCAGTTCAGATCTTTATTAAGAACTCAAAGTAGGGGACTAAAACTACATACTTTATCTTCACTAATTAGAGGCCTGTTAATGTCCAAAACTGTTGAGCTGAAATATCATATGTACTTTTGAGAAAACTCATCAGATGCTTTTCATCAATGTGTATCCCATTCCTACCCACTTTAAATGTGGGATATTCTTTGTAGTTTGATCTCTAAAGAAAAGATGAAGTTTTTCCACTGAGACTGAATAACTTCCTTTTATGTCTTATTCTTAGGTCATCTCGATAGTTTCTGATATTGGCTCCGTGATGGTTATAGTTGGCTTTGTTGCTATCACAGCAGGCTCTAATGTTTTTGGATCAGAGTTGAGAGATATGGGTATTCCAGGAATCTTGGGCTCTGGTGAAAGGTCAAGAACTGTGACAGCAAATAGCCAATATCCTCAAATATTCTGGGACTGCAGTTTGATTTATATTTGGTTTAGAATACAGTGCTTGGGGTTATTGTTGGTGATCACTGTCTCCTCCGTAAACCAAGTTACTTTGTTTAGGATATCTGCAAGGGTTAGAAACATCTCTCAGGGGGTAATAGAACTGGCTTCTCTGGAGGCCTGGTCATTTCAGAAGGCTAATGCTGATTCCTTGGGTATTACTGTTTAGAAATCATAAAAACCAAGGAGAGTGTGTGTTGAATAAGAAGAGAACTTTGAGAGATGCCCATGCTTAGGGAGCAGGAGGTGAATGATAAACTAGCAAAAAAGACTGAAGAGTAGTCAGGGAGGACGAGAGAGCAGTTTCTGTGAAGGGGTGGGGTGGGGTTGGAATTGTAAGAGGCTGAGAAGTGAGTTCAGGATGGAACTAGAGCCACAGAGAGTAAATAATTTCATCTAGGAGCAATCAGACCTGTTGGGTCATAAGAGACTAACTGAAGCTAGATTTTGTGATGCTGCCAGCTCGGTGTCTCACTGGCTTAGGGAATTACCGAAACCTGTTCCTGCAGTTTTGGTGAATGACAGAGGTCGTTTTTGGTGAATGAAAGAAGATTCTTCTGGTTCTAGAAAGATAGGAGTTGGTTTGCATAGGCTTGGGCATAGAGAGGTGGACTTGGTTGTTGTAGGGTCACAGACCAGGTTTCAGGGAGAAGAGCCAGAGGCCATTCTCTGAAGTTCAGAAGAAAAGGAGTTTTCACACATTTAAAACACTTGATAGAAAGGCATGTCTTAGGAAAAAACAGGTGTGTGGGGCTCAAGAAAAAGGAAAGAGTTAGAGGGAATGTTCATGTTTCTGAGATTTTTCAGCAGGAATAGGTTTCTAAAGATCAAGGAAATGCTGCCAGGGCTTTGGTGATCTTTAGGGCTCCTGAATCCAAAGGGATTCTGTAGATCGGTTTTAGAGTCTAGGGAGCCCAGGCTTCTGGACCTTTGGATAGATAGGTAACTTCTTGGAACCTGGTTGATACTAAGACTAGGGTCCAGGTAGTATGGAAAGAACAAGGTTATCAGGCTTCAGAGTTTGAGGAAAGAAATTCCTAGTTCGTTGTGGCATTGCTAAGATCCCCAGAGTCTGATTTAAGAAAAAAGTCACTGGAGGAAAGATCAGGCCAGGGAACTAGGGGCCAGGCCTTTGTTTCCAACTGCAGGTCAGCCAGGCCAGCTAGCAGAGTGGTATGTTGATGCTAGTTTCAACACTTAATGTGTGCATGTTGCTTTGAATGGAATCCAGAGAAAAGACTCAAATGCCAAGACCGAGACTTGAATGGCCATAGGATGGGACAGGCCAAGTGCATTGGTAATGATAAAGTGTGACAGTTCTGTATTGTCCAAAGGGGGTGAGCATATTGCAGAGTTTAAGTAAGACCACCAGGATTTGGGCTGGAATGGGAGGCATGGAAGGAAGACAGATTCTTGGTAAATAGGCAGGATGTGGCATCCAGGAGTTTAGAGTAGGAGCAGAATTCAGTTTGGGGTAACAGTCTGTGTTATACTATATAATAGTGTCTTATTTAAATGACACCAATTAGCAGTGGTGGTTATGAAAGTGGAAGTGGGGTCCATAGTTGGATTTGAATAGGCACACTTGACTGGAAGAAATCTAGGAGCCAGGATATTTGTGGAATTTTGCAATGTAGTTGTTTCTCTTCCTATATTATTTTTCTTCCTCACCAAAAAAAAAAAAATTTTCCCCCAAGGTTGGGGAGTACACTTCTTTTTCTTTCCATTTAAGATCCTTTTCTCATCTGACTAGTTTTCATTTCTATCACTGTGATGCTTTTAAGTGATATTTCTTGAAGCCCATGATAGCTCTCTTCATTGTGACTTTTGATAATAATTTGTTCTTGCTTAGCAGTTTTCATCTGCCCTGTAAAGGTCTTTAGAGATATCACACTGTACCTTATTGAGTTAATTTACACAGTTTCCAACTATGATGATGAGATTGGATCATAGAGTAGCGGGGGAGAACACTTTCTATTCATTTCATGTGGTTAGAAAGGATGTGGGACAACGTTGAACATAAGTCCAGGAAAAGCATAAGCTTCCCCTTTTCAAAGTTGACACACCTGCATTTATTCATGTATGAACTATGGGCAGGAAATAATTACTGGGTTGAGTTTCAGATGGAAATAAGATAAAGTAATGGTAGCTAGTTAAGAACTAGTGAGAGTGAAATAGCTCAGACGTGTGGAAAATTTAATGACCAATAGTGTTTCTTAATGCTGGAGTGGAGTAGAGCAGCATTGTTTTAGGTAAAATGTTGATGACGATGTTGGCTCTTGCCTCTGATACTCATGAGCCATGGCCAGTCACTTCATCTGTGGCTCAGGCAACTCCATAGGATTTGATAGGTCAGAGAACCCAAGATGGAATCCTGGCTTTGCCTGGTCAAGCCACTTAACATCTGGACCTCAGTCCTTCGTCTTGAAAATAAAAAGGTTGATCTGAGATGATTGTTCAGGTCCCTTCCAACTCTAAATGTTTGATCTACTAAGAAGTGGAGAGGTTGCCTGGTGCTAAGTTAGTTGAAGCTCTAGGGAGAAGGCTCAGTATATTATGAGGACAAGGACCTGAATGGCTTTGGGATGGGACAGATGAGGGGAATAGCTTTGGAGATAAGTAGGTGTTGAGAGCATGCAAGAGAGACCATGGGAGCAGACAGATTATAAAATAAGATAACCGTGATTTGGGCAATATGGGAAAGAGTGAACAGCAAGTAGGTACTTGGTTGGTGGAAGGAGTTCCCAATGTGGACAAAATCACTCAGTGAATATATATCCAGTATTTGTGTGTGTATGTGTGTGTATGTATACATATACTGGAGATAAATATACATGTTTATACATGTATATATTCATATACATCTGTATTATAGATGTGTGTATGTGTGTACATACATGTACACACACATATAATACATATATATACATTGGTAATATTATAAAGGATACACATAAAGTTACTGAGCACTGCATCAGTTAACTTAAGAACTGTGAACTTCCAGGAGCAGCTGGGTGGTACAGTGGTTAGACTCAAGTCAGAAGGATTTGAGTTCAAATTAAGCTTCAAACACTTACTAGCTGTGTGACCCTGGGCAAGTCATTTAACCCAGATTGTTCCCTGCCTCCTCCCTTCCCCCCCAAAAATTACTAACTTCCTTAAACAGACCACCACAATTGTCATAATTCTTGGGGCCTCAGACTGTTGAAAATTTTCCTGGCTGAAAAGAGCTTTGTATCAGGGTTTACATGACAGGTGTAAAATGTGTTGCCTAAGTCACTCTTCTGTTTTTTGCCTAGAATCATGACTTTTCTCTAGCCCATCTTGGGGAACTTTCACCACTAAAGATACTAAATTGTCCCTTTCCTAGGAAGATGTAGTGGGACGAAAGGGACAAATTAGATTGTTAGGACAAAGGTGAAATAGGATGGTGTATTTCAGCAAATTCTGTTTGCATTCATAGTTCTGGAAAGAAGTCTGATGGATATAAAGATTGGAAAGTTTCCATCTTGGCTTACAATCTCCAACTTCTCTTTAATGGGACTGCTGGGAAAAGTACAAAAAGGTGAGCCTGGATTGATGACGACTGTTCATTTACTGGGTTTGAATGATTTTACAAACTCTCTTTAGAAATCTCTATATATCTGTGGCATCTCTGCCATTGAGTTTGTCATTTTGTTTGTAAGAACCTGGCCCTATCTCTTTACCTACTTTTGGTTATGAATTAGCATGAAAACATGCGTAATTGATACCTATTGAGAATCGCAAACCTCATGCTATATAATGTTTCCCCATGAAATAGTTGACCTAATCTCCTAATGAAGAATAAAACTGCTTTGAAGAAGGTAAGTTTTTAGCCTTTCTGGGCATTTGAAGGAGCTAGACCAATTGTTCTTTAAGATCCCTCTGAGGGGCAGCTAGGTGGTGCAGTGGATAGAGCACCGGCCCTGAAGTCAGGAGGACCTGAGTTCAAATGCGTCCTCAGACCAGACACTTGACACTTACTAGCTGCGTGACCCTGGGCAAGTCACTTAACCCCAATTGCCTAAAAAAAAAAAAAAAGATCCCTCTGACAAATTTATGGAGTTACACTTTCATCTCCCTGACCAATAGCCTGAGAGAAAAGACCTTGAAAAGTAAGTCCCAGAATTGGAGTTCATTAACAGCTAGACTCATGCTTCTTTTTAAACAGCCTGGATTAAATACCCAAAATATGTCAGCTTGAAGAAGGGTGGCATCGGTGGCATCACCATGCTGTTTGCTGGATACTGGGTCCTTTGCTACAGCTGGAGTTTCAGCACCTGAGTAAGACTTCCTGGCTTTTGGGCTTGAATTATAGATCCTTAAATGATGGTAAAATATATTAGGGATTTACTTCTCTTCTGCTCTACCAAACAGTGCCTGTGCTTCTGACCTTTCATTTTCCACAGAGTTTACGCATACAAAGTGCCTTTGCCTCTCAGCAGCTTTCTAGATTCCTCAATAGTCTAATAATGGTCATGTGGCTTCTCCCACTTGCTGAGTATTTTGATCACAATTATATCTGCCCATTCATTTTTTAAAGTCCATTGATACATAAACCTCTAGGAAAGAATAATCTTCTCACCCAAAGAGGAGAAGTAGTCACTTGCGGCTTCATATTTGGATGTAGATAAATGAACCCTTTGTAGATCTAGATTGAGTCTAGACTAGGGGCTAAAAGTAGAACCCTCTAGGCAACTATGTCAGAAAAATCAGACACAGTGACCATTTGAAGGCCTACTTAAATCAGCCTGACATTTAACCCAACCCACTCTTTGTAGGCCTGGTATTTCCTACTGATAGACTTCTTAACTTTGATGACGCATTCCCCCACAGCCCTTTATTCCCCCCTTGTTGGAGGTAGCCTTTGAAGGGAAGGCACCAGCAACAAAGTGTCATTTGAGCTTTTGACTTAGTGAGCTGTTCAGGGCCTAGGCCAAGGGAAAAACTTAACCTGGGACTGTGAGTCTCAACTTGGACAAAAGGATTTCACTTTACTTTATGGTCAATAACGATTGCCTCTCAAACCTTACTTCTTTTTCTCTTCTCTGCCCAAAGAGCTGCAGCGTTGGCGCAAGCACCACTAATCTGGATACTGTGCATCGTGCCAAGAATTCTTCTGATAGACTAGGAGAGGCACAGTAAGAACCACTGCAATTTATGTAAAAGCTTAACATTTCACTTGGGAAGAGGAGAGGAGGAACAGTAAAGTTCCTGAAGTGCTGCATGTATGATCCAAATATTAGTGCTACATGTATAATCGATATCAAATTGCTTGCCTTTACAGGGGAGGGGAGGGAGAGAATTTGGAACTCAAAATTAAAAAAAAAAGGATGTTAAAAATTGTTCTTACATGTAATTGGAAAAAATGAATAAAATATAATTTTTAAAAAATAGTGCTACAGGAATATTATTCTCATTGCTAGGATCTTATTACTTGGAAATTACTGAAAAGAAAAAATGGTCAAACTAAATTTGCGCCTGATCACACAGACTGTCTTTCTTGGCCCACTTGAATGGAGGGTGTGGAGCAGAGAAGTAATAAGTGTTCATTTTATTACTTTGGTGCACTGTATTACAGTTAACCTGTGTGTTGGAGTCTTAGTTTTAAAAGGAAAAACAGGTAAATTGTGGTAACTACAACTCCTGCTAGGACTTAGCCAGGAAAATAGATGCTTTCCCCTCAAATCTGGTTCAGATCTAGACTAATGGTACCAAATCTTTCCATATTTCTATATGGGGTTTCCATATGAGGAAGACTTTATGGCCATCCTCTCTAGACCAGGAATTTCTGAAATAATCTTTAAGGGAATTACTTTGGAGCCCCCAGTTTCCCATCTATATAATTTATGTGCTCCAGCCCTTTACTTTCTCACATGAGAGTAATGCTACTGTACCATCCTTCCTCTAGCACCTTTCCATTGACCTGTATAATCCAACAACAATGTTAAAGACTTACCTTGTCCTAGATCTAGCATTTATATTTTTAAAAAAGGGTTTTCTCAAGACCTAATCTCTTGGCCCGAAGGAATGATCAGTGGTGGGAATTTCTGGCACTGTAAGGCTGAAGAAAATAGTTTTAGCCAGGTGCCTTTCAAGAAAAAAAAAACCCAAAAGAATCACAACATGGTTGCATCTACCAGAACATATAATCAGTTGTGTTAGGGAACTCCATTGTATTAACTAAGGGCTAGGATATTAAATGTTATTTTTAAACCTTTAAGGGGAAGACTGACTGCTAAACTCAAGTGCCCTAGCCATGAATGTTACAGTCGAAGTCTACTTCAGCAGTAAAAAGACTATAGCTGTTTCAGGATACTCTAGTTCACACATCATATGATCTATTAGAGAGTATGTTTGTATCAATTTTTGCTAGGTAGTTGCCTCTGTTTAACAAAGCTAACATCTTCTAGAAAGGAAAGTCCACATCAGTTTGCTAGTATTTCTTTTTTTTTTTTTAAAGAAAATGAACCCACATCTAATTGATGCCGTTGAAAGTTTGTCAGTAAGTAGCCAGATTTTCATTAGCACAGATTTGACACATTGACTTGATAAAAATAAAGTTGCTTTGAGTCTAAATTAAAATGTTGTACTCTTCTTTCTGCACATTCCCTTGTAATCCATTCACATCTTCAACTAATTACCACTATGGAGAACTTAGCTCTATTTCTCTCCATTCTAGCCCAAATGCCAGGTGCCTGTAGATATCTCTGTGTGGAGGTCCAGTCATCATCTCATAGTTAATATGTCCAAATAACTTATTTCTTTCCCTTTCCACACCTTCATATCAATTCCCTTATCTCCATCCATAATACCATTGATTTAAACACCAAGAGTCCAAATCTATTATCTTTAATTCTTCCTCGTAACGAGTTAGATGCCTAGTATCTAATATTTCAGGTTCAAAGGATGATCTGAGTTATTTCAAAGGAAAAATCCTTTCCATCCCCATTACTACCATACAAGTCCAGACTTTTATTTTATGCCTGGATTATTACTACACCATCACTATTCTCATTTTTGCCATTTTCCTTCCTCTCAAATCATCTTGTATAGTCTTTCTAAAAATCTACTTTCATCATGTCTGTCCACTCATTAATCTTGTATACGCCTACAGAGTAATGTCCAAACTCTTTCACTTTGCTTTTCAGGGCCCTCTCTAGATAACAGAGTGGCACTATAATCTCCCACTATTCCCAACATTTTTTTCCCTCAACCATCCAGCATCCTCATTGTCTCTCAGACATACTGTATGCATTTCCACTACTTTGTTGACCCAAATTCCATTGTCCTTCAGGGATCTACTCAAGTTCCACCTCTTACATGAATCCTTCCCGAAAGAAGCCAAGTTGTACTGCTTTCTATAACATTTTGACCTCCTCTAATATAAAAATAGAAAGGTATCTTGGTGTAGGACAGAAGCCCCAGGTTTGATGGCCCTAACCAGATTAAAGTACAATTGGGAAATGTTTAGCAAAATGAATAAAAATACAGCAAAACTGAGATAATGTTAGTTTGTGGTTTTTGAAATCAATATGTGTCCTGCAAGGTTCCATTTCTGTTTGAATTTAACACCACTGGTGGAGTGGATAGGGAGTTGGGGTCTAAGCCAAGAAGACCTGAGTTCAAGTCCTACATCTGGCACATACTCACTGTGTGAGTCTGGGCAAATCACTTAACTCTTGCCCTCCCTCCTCTTTCTGTCATCCTCCCTCCTTTATTTCTTTCTTCTTTTCTCATCCAGGTTGGAAATAGATTGGTTCATTATGGACTACTGTGTTTTTCCAACCTGAGTAGTCCTGCATCTTAGAACTCTTGACCCACCAGTCTCATTCTTACCCAGCAATAGGGATTACACACATTTCTCACCATGGCCTCTCTACACATTGTCTTTCTAAGACCAAAAGTTCTTAACTATTTTTGTGTCATGGATCCTTTGGCAGTCTGATGAAACCTGTGGACCCCTTCTGAGAATGTTTTGAAATGCATTCAATAAAGTACATTGGATTGAAAAAAAAAACCCAAGTATATTGAAATACAGTCATCACAATGTTGAAAGTTCCAAATTCGCAGACCAAGTGAATCCCCAAATAGGAACTTGCTGTAAGATTCAGATAAAGTGCCAACCTGCATTGGCAGAGTTTCCTCACCCAGAAGTTACTTGTGCCAGTAAAATCACAGGTGCAGCCCCATTGCTAATATGAAGGTCATGAGTGGTACAAATTAACTGTCACATGTGCATGTCATGTATAAGATTAAAAAAAAAAGCATCTCTCACTTGGACCTAGCACAGTGGAAGCACAGAGTATGTATCATCACATTTAGAATGAGTACCAAGTGCCTTCATCGTGCTGAAGGCAACTATTGTATTAGAACAAATTATGAGACTTTGCCATCTCTTAGAAGCATTTCCAGTCACATGTGGCAGATCTAGCTTACATAGAACCATGGAAAATATGAAGGCGTGGATTTTCTTAAATTTTGTTTCTTCCCTTGGATAACATTCAACATATTGAATATATATACATATATGTATATATTAAAATATATATATCTCCATGTATATGAGTAAATATATATGTGGATATATATAAATGAATATGTATTCAAGAATTTACTATATGTTAGAAGTCAATACCAATCAGATTCAGACATTCTGCCTTCATTTCTGCTTGAGGTTCACTCATTTATTGGATAAGAGAATAGGATGAAGCGTTTACCTCATGCTATTCAGGCTTCAGTGCGTTTTCCTCATTAAATTACAATACTTTCAACATTAAATAGGTAAGTTCCCTTGTAGTGAGTATCTCATGTGCTGTGACCCCCGGGGATGTTTGCCAAAAAGGTCTTCCAGCCGTCCAGATATTCTGTTATTTTCTGAAGAATACTGTTGGTTGATTCTTGTCGCCCTTGTTATCATAATGGCTCCTTCCTCTGCGCTGAAAGGAAAAAGTTGATGGACTTAACTTCCACCTCAGATATGCTACAAAACTCCCCACATTGCATAGTGAAACCTCAGCAGAACCCATGACAGCACATTTGATTTCCTCTCTGTCTCTCTCTCACACACACACACACACACACACACACACCCCGATTTGCATTTCCTGCCAAAAAGAGATCCTGCAGTAGTTAGCTAGAAAAAGAAACTTGAAGAAAGTAAACATTGTCCACATCCTGACAGACCACATTCATTCACTCAGCAAGGATTTTTAAGCGCCTCAGAGTGCACAGTGATGCCAGGTAAAAGACAAAAGCGTAAAAGTCACTGACTGGGACTACAAAAATGAATGAAATGGAAGGCCAAGAAAACTAAGGATTCCATTTTTGCTCTTTCCCATAAGCTCAAAAAAACCCTGGGCAATTTGGTATCCCATATCATAAGAACTTAACAGATTTCTTCCTTCCTTTTTTTTTTGGTTAGGCAGTTGCGGTTAAGTGACTTGCCCAGGGTCACACAGCTAATGTCAAGTGTTTGGTCTGAGGCCAGATTTGAACTCAGGTCCTCCTGACTTCAGGGCCAGTGCTCTATCCACTGCACCACCTAGCTACTCCTTCCTTCCTTTTTTCTCAGGATAGATGTTAACACCGACAAGAAAGAGTAAAGGAGCTCAATCACCCCAAGTTCCCAAAGGCTCTATATAGATACAGACCAATGAAATAATAATTGGAAGAGAATAATGCATAACCTTTGTTAACTTATTAACTTTTTTGTCTTTTCAAAAAAGCAAGTTTTTGCTCCATTTGTCAGGAAATATAAAAATAAGATCATATTGCTGAGAATTGCCTAGTGGCAACTTTTCAGCATCTTGAGCATTTGATTTGCCAGCATCTACCCTCTCCCCCAATCATACTTTATTTCCTTAAGTTCAAGTACAGATTTTTCCTTACTTGTTACACATAGGGAATTATTCATACCCAGATCACCGATCAAAACATACTCCTAGTTCACAGTACAAAAGGCAGAAAAATCCCCTTGGCCTCCATACCCACCCTAAAGCAAGTGAACTGTTGCAAAAGACACAGTGGGCTTGCTGGAGACTTCAGCTGGTGGGCTCTCTTGCTGACCACGCTCAGATGTTTCTACAATGGAATCAAGTTTTGTTGGCCCTTGTGGTTGACTTACATTCTGAAAGCAGGAAAGGAAAAATAGGAGTTGAGACCTATTGAATAACTCTCCAGTGTGGGGGCATGGTGCTATGCTCAGAGGGTGATGAAATACTCAGATTCAAAGCTAAGCTTGTAGAGACTAGTTATTTGCCGATTTATCCAGAGGAAAAGGGATTGCGGGTGGGGAGAGGAGAGTGATTACAGTTATCCCTTCCACATTTCAACTTTCTCCATCATGGTTTCAGTGAATCTCAGGTCACCATAAGAAATAAATGGGAATTTTTGGAGAGCTTTACAGAAGTTACAGATGACATGTGAAGACCAACAGATGATACAGAAAAGGTTTAGAAACTGAGGAGTGCAGGGTTATTATTTTTTAAAAAAAATGCATTCCAGTAGACTCTGGCATATCATACAAGAAAAGTCCTTATGTAATTTCCTAAATGTCAATGAAGGTGAAGCATTACCCTAACAGGTTTTACATGGATTTTCCAGATTGTGGGGCACAGTGCCTCTAATCTTGATGTGGAAGGGATAACTGTACATTTATTATACTTCTTCAGAAGTTGAGTGGGCAAGTTAGAAGAGCTTTCTACCTTATGCCAGCAATCTCCAGTCATAGATATTACTATCAGCTATTTCCCCTTTTAAGATGGCAAGTGCCAGGGATGTCTCCCATCTTACAATGCCTTTGCCCCACTTGTATCTGCAGCCCAGCCAACAAGCTGTCTCTTTTTCCTCTTAGAGATCCACCCTAGAAATAATCTAAATGGACTTAGATGCTAACGTGTAGTGCCCTATGGATTTAGAAAGGGATTTAGTAGTCATCTGGTCTAACCTTTTCATTTTTGCAAGGAAGGAAAGAGGACCAGAAAGGTTAAGTGATTTGCCAATGACCACACAATTGATAAGTAACTGAGTTGGGATTTGAACCCAGGTCCCCTGATGGGTAATTTTATCCCTTGTACCACATCACATTTCAGGCCTTTCCTTTCTTTCTTCCCTTTACCTGCTCTAGTTTTTTCCTGTCCACCACCAAGAAAGCCCCCTTCTCTTTCTTGTCAAACAAAGCCAGATCCTACTTGCTCATATATTACCCCTAAATCTAGGTTCTTTTTGGTATTTGGTGTGCTGTTGTTGAAAAGAGTAACTGCTTCTGTTTCCATAGATGCTAGGCTGAGGCACACTGCCCCCCTTTACATCGAAGAGGATCGGCACTCCTGAGCCCACAAAGGCTGGGATAGAGTTAACACTCTTTTATTTAACAAAAATCTTAAATGATATGTAAGGGAAAAGCCAAATCAGATGAAGTTGGAAAGTATTTTATGGATCAGTGATGACATTAAAAAATATTTAAAATGGTTAGCAAATTAGGCAGAACACTTGCAAAAAAAATACAGCATACTTTAGTGATGTCATCTTTTTCATGGGGGAAATAGGTGCCATTTTTCTGGGGTTAGGACCTCCTGGAAAACGTAGTGATGAAAGAAAATGGAAATGAGGTCAGCATAGCAGACACAGACCCCTTTCTAGTTCTTACCTTTGAGTGACTTGCTTTACGAAGTAACAGTGTCATCTTGGGGCTGAGGAGAGTATATGAGAGACAATTAAAGAACCAATCGAACACACCCAGTTCCAGTCTATTAATGTGCTCAACACCACAGACTGTTGTAAGCCTCAGGTTTCCAAACTTTGAAGGGAGAGGATTTCTGCCCAGACCAATGAAGAAAGAAAATATGTAGCCAGCATGTGCCGGAGGCTGGTAACTGGGTTTCTCTCCTGCTGTTTTCAGGATGGACAATGAGGAATTTTGTTAAATCAAGGGGTAGAGAGTAACAAGAAAACCTTTGTTATAGTGTATCAGTAGAATGGGCTACTTTGGAAGAGTGAGAACTTCGGGAGGGGGAACCTAAATAGTAGGCACGAGATATTTTACTATGAGCTATTGGAGGCACAGAATGCCTCTGTCCTTTAGGGGGTTAGGAACCAGGAATCAGTGAAGAGTCTAACCTAGCTTTCTGGTGTGAGCTGGTGGCTCAAGGAAGTACATACTGTGCAAATCTGCAACCAGGTCCCTCTGGACAGAAGCCAGCTAAGTAGTTGGTACACAGCACTCTTCTCATATGACGGAATTTACACAAAGGACCTGCCAGGCCGAAAAGAGACACACCTTAGGCAGCTCAGCCCCTACACAGACAGGAAGAATTGGCTTTGGGGTGGGTAGGAAGTGACAGGAAACACAGGCAGAGAAGCTGCAATGGGAGGATGATCACTGAGCCAAAGTAATTTCCTGCCCACTCAAAAGTAATTGTATGGACCTGGTGTCTTCATTCTTGCTATTCAAATGGGAAGCGTTATGCCAGTAGGGACTGTTAGATGAATCTATCACTTGACAGTAAATGGAGCTTGAACTTTGATGCTGAGAAATATTTAGCTTATTGCCTTTGGGGCTGTGTTAACTTTAGGCATTGTCCCTTTCCCTTCGTGACATCCTCCTCTGTTTACTAGTCTAGAACTTGGGAGGGTCCCAACACCAACCACACAGCTAGCAATTCTAACCCAGAAGGGAGAGATTCTCTGAAGCTAGCAGAGATGGATAAGTTGTGCTCAGAGGTTAATCATGCCTAAGAGAAATAATCCAGACACTTAAGACTAAATTAAAAGGATAACAGGAAGGATGTTATATCCAGATAAGAAATTCATGATTGTTTTTAAGATTTTTGATAAAATAGTGGCATTTGCCATTACAAAAATTAGGGGCTGGAGAGAATTCAGTTTAGGGATATAAGAGATATAAATTTTCCCCCTTAAGACTGCTTTGGCTACATCTCCCAAATTTTGGTGGGTCACTCCTAATGTTGTCTTTAATGATATTATCTATCATTTTTATGTTTTGTCTTTTGTTCCTGTTTTGTTTCCATCATATCCAACTCTCCATGATCCCATTTGGGGTTTTCTTGGCAAAGATACTGGAGTGGTTTGCCACATTTTACACATGAGGACACTGAGGCAAATAGGATTAAGTGACTTGCTCAGGATCACATGGGTAGTAAGTGTCTAAGGCCAGATTTGAACTCAGGAATATGAGTCTTCCTGATTTCAAGCCCAGTGCTCTATGTACTGCTCAACTTAGCTACCCTTTGTCCTTTGATTCACCAGTTCTTTAGGATTAAAATATTTAATTTTCAGTTGATTTTTTCAGTAGTCCTTTGTTGAATTTAATTTTTTATTGCTGTTGGTCATGAAAGAATGTATTTAATGTTTTTGCATTCATTTGTGAGTTTTAAATGCCTTAATAAGATCAGTTTTTGTGAAGGTGCCATGCACAACTGAAAATTATGTGTATGTATATATATATATATATACACATATATATGTATATATATATATATATATATATATATATATATATATATTCCTTTCTATTGGTAGGAATAAAAGAGGCTGAAAATATTTCTATTCTGATTTGAGCGTCAATGTCAAGGACTAGGGGACCTCAGCAATAAATCACATCCTTCCTCTTCCCCACGTACTTGCATAATAGAAGAGAAAAACTGAACTCTTCTGTCAGTCACAACCTTACCATACTTGCAGAAACCTTGATCATACCAGGGACAATTTTGGATCTTGGAGGCTGGGTCAGCATGAAGGAAAAGACATTCTTTATTGCAGCATTCTCCTGAAATTGTACCAATCACCATTCTATTGTGTCCATCCCTTGGAGCTCCTCCCTCCATCTCATCCCCACACCTATTTAGATTAATCTGGGTCCTTACATGGGAAGGTTCTCTCTTTCTTCTGTCTTTTGCCCTTTAAAGTAATACCAAGATATTTCCATATATCTCCTCTAGACGTATGCCTAGCCCCATACCCTTCCCAGAAAAATGAAGAACCCTACTATTCTATCCTGCTGTTGTGGCAAGAAGACTTATGGCTAGTCTCCTGGGCTCCTTGCCCAATTGATCTTATGTGAAGGGTCATGAAATCCCTCTGGTGATATGATATAATAATAATAGCTATTCAATTCTCAGTGAATACTACTTATATAGCACTTTAACATCTGCAATTCACTTTATATATTATGTGATTTGATCTTCACAGCAATATTGTGAGGTAGGTACCATTATTATCCCCATTTTACAGATGAGGAAACTGAGGCTAAAAGATGATGAAGTCACACAGCTGATAAATGTCTGAAGTCATATTTGAACTCAGGGCTTCCTAACTCAAGTCCAACATGCTACCCCCTGTGCTATGTAACTATTCCTTAGACCCAGGTGCTCTAGTGCCTTGTGATTCAGAAGTCCAGTTCCCATCTCTCATAGGGATGGATTTATTTTGGGGGAAAAAAAGACATTACCCTGCACATCAAAATTCTGAGATTCATTGTTTTTCACATCTGTACAGGATCGTTGAGTCCAACCTCCTCATTTTACAGAGGAAAAAACAAAGGCCCAAAGAAATTAAGTGAATTCTAAGGTGAGACAATTAGTGGCTGAACCAGCACCATAACCCAAGACACAACTCCAGTAAGGCATCTGTTGAACAGATCCCCATTTTGTATGGTGATGCTATGGGGAAGCAATCAAGTAATGAAGGCAAAAAGTTATCCTCTGAGGACTGGTTCAATATTTTAACGAGCAAAGTCTGTGTATCTAGAATTTATTCCATTTTTTCTTCCCCTTCTCTGCCTCTAAGAAAGGATGCTTGACCATGCAATTCTTTTCATCACCAGAAGGTGGTGCTAACACACCATTTTTCCCGGACATTATTTCCTGGTTAAACAATGGTCACTCAGTAGTACATCTTTTGTGGGTAGATCATTTCAGAAAGGCCAGACACTTCCCCCCCCCGCCCCCTTCACCCCACACACACTTTCTCCATCTCACACCACCTATTCTCATTGGCTACTCCTCCTCCCCTCTCCCCTCAAGAAGACTAACAAAAGTTCATACAAATGGGACCCGATCTGTGATTCCATTGGTATAAGGAACTCTTAGGTGAATTCCTTCTATACATCTGGTATAGGACACTGTGTTAGAGAGTTGCTTAGAGCACTGAGCCAATAGGTATCAGAAATGTGAGTTGACTTGGAGTCTTCCTGGTTTCAAGGACAGCTCTATATCCATCCTACAAAACTACCTCTCTGGTCATCTAAATGAGTGGAGAAAATAGGATGCTTTGGATAGGACACCAGGGAAGGATAATATGTGTTCATTTGTTACAGAAACAAAAGACAGACCTCTATGAATGATAAAATCATAAGTGGCTTCAAAGAAAATTGAAGATATACCTGACTTTTAAGGTTGTGTCTTAGAGATACACCAAGCTCTGCCACAGGACATCCATTAGGACTAGGTTCAAATCCTCTCTCTGCTGTTCTGCCTGTGTGACCTTGGGCAGGTAACGTACACTCCTTAGACCTCAGTTTCTTCATCTTTCAAATGGGTTGGTTGGACTAGATCTCTTTTAGGCCTTTTAGATCTCTTTCCAGCTATAGATCTATGATCCCATGAATGATACTGGCAAGAGGATAGTGGGCTGGATGATCCTTGAGTCTGATCTCTTGTGACAATTCTTACCATAGTGGGGATGATTCTCCCCTGATCAGCTGGACTGGGGGATCTTCCATGGAGTTGGGCATACACTCTGGCTCTATGAAGATGAACACATCCATTGGCTTCTTGCTGAATGATATACTCTTTGCTTTGCTGAGGTTACACAGCAACTCTTTAGATCAGTTCCCATGACTAGGGGTTGTATCAGAGGATGGGCCATTGGGGTTCACTTATGAAGGAACCTCTCCCCTAAGTAGACTATAAGAAGAATGAAGAGAAACTGCTTCCAATCTCTTTTGAGCACTTGATTCTTAAGATGGATCCAGTACATTCTCTCAGACTTCCAGTTGGGGGGGGAGAGGTACCCCTCAATGGCTACAGAAGCTCCCAACTCCAGCACATGAAAATGGCAATCAATATGAGCTTGCCTAGGCAAGCCCAAAATGGCACTTCAAGAACCTGGCTTCCTCTTTGCCTTTTGTTCCTTCTCTGAGCACAGGCATTTGACCAGCAACCTGAAAGATGGACATGTGCAGCCTTGGAGGCTCTCTCATCAGTTATAAAACTCCTAGGTTGGTGATTGGTGCCAGCTGGCCACCAAGTCATGCTTCCTGCAATGATGCTGCTTCTTCGAGGTGACCGCTTCTGGGAGCATGCTGGCCGGGAGAGCTGGACCTTGTGAGTTTGTTCAGACAGACCAGTCAAAGGGGAGAATAAAAACGATTCCACATTCCCACAAAGTGGTCTGTGCTTCCCAGGAGAGTCTAATCAGAGTGATGGGCTCTTATTTCATGTATTAAGTACTTGTTACTATGTGCTTATGAGCCTTTGGTGTTTGAAGCATTTCTTTTTTTTAGTGTAGGAAAAAATAGCTACTCTATACTTACTATCAGCTTTGTATATCAAGTAGCTTTTCCAGAAGGGACTCTGTTAGTCCCTTGTAGGGGAGACCCCAGACATGAGCAAACCCTAAGCTTTATTTAAGAGATTTTCCTCCCAGGCACAGTGATCCAGACAGTTTGAGAAAAGCCCCATTCTTCTCTTTTTAGGGGTCAGGCCCACACCCAGGATGGAAAGAAGGGGACAAGAATTTATTAAGTGCTTGCTATGTGCCAGGCACTGTGCTAAGTGCTTTACAATTGTTATTTTACTTGATCTTCACAGCAACCCTTCAAGGTAAGTGCTATTATTATCTCCATTTTATAGTTGAGGAAATTGAGGCAGACAGAGGTTAAGTGGCTTGCATTGATGCTAGGCTGAAGCACTGTGTCTCCTTTTCCTTGGAAGTGGACTGGCACTCCTGAGCCCACAAGGGCTGGGATGGGGTTGGTACTCCTAAATTTAACAAAAATCCTCAGTGATACATAGGAGAAAACCCAAATCAGATGAAGCCAGAAAGTACTTCATTGATCAACGATGACATTTAAAAAATATACATATCAAAATGGTTAGCAAGTTGGACAGAACACATACTAAAAAAAATACAGAAGACTTTTGTCACCTTTTTTTACAGATGAGGAAACTGAGGCCCTGAGAGGGGAAGTGATGTGCCCAAGGTCACTAAAATAGTTAAATGGCAGAGCTGGGATTTGAACCCAATGTTTCTGACTGGATTATTCACACTTTCTACTTGTTTGCAAATAAGACTACATACCATTGTAAAGTCCTACATGGAAGATTCCTGCACTATATTTTGAAGATTGGACTTGGTTTTCAGTATGTGTGCACGTGCGCACACACACACACACAACACACACACACACACACACACACCCCTCCAACTTTCCCTAGGGAGACAGGACATGTTGGTTATTTTCCTTCACTCTGAAAGAGGACCAAAATGACATCACTATGTTGGGGTCAAGGTACAGTGTGTCTGACTGTGTCTGATCAGACCGATAGGAGCTCAGAAGTCGGGCACGAATAGTCTGTAGATAGGACACATACTAAGTGTTCTTTAGGGTAACCTGTAGTTTACATTTCTCTGAGAGGTGGAAAAAGGAAGTAACAATTTCCCAAGTCCTTTAATAGACCCTGCCTAGCAGGTCTGGCATCCTGGGATGTACCTATCTTCCTTTGAAAAGTTTGTCTTACCCTTCCCCCTGAATCTCCTCCTTTTCTTTCCTTTTCTTGGGACCAAATTTCACTGAGACTTTCTTGAACTCACCATTCAGCCCCTCCTTAGTAAGGTACTAAAGGAATGGGCACTAGCCATATGAATATTGGCACCAGAAAAGATGCATTACCAAATTTGGAATAGAAGTAGCACTCGGGCATCCTGGTGGTATCGTATTGGTGCAGAAATTTGCACTGGTCGCTCTTCTTACAAAGACCCCGCAGCCAGTGTTTGCACACCACCGTCTTCTCCCCATCATCATGCCGGAACGGACAGAGCTTGCCTAGAAAATGCAGATGAACCCCAAGAAAATCATGCTTCTCCCTAGGATAGGCTCACCTTCCCCTACTCCCCCAAATGACATCACTACTTCGGGAGGCAGAAGAGTAGGATATTCCAACTACCAGTTCCCCCTTCTCACCCATCTCCCCCTCTTCCTGCAGCTGTGCTTGGATTTCCTCCCATTGAGAGGTTTAGACTTTTTTTTTTGAGATTAGAGGCAGAAGATACCTAAAAGGGAAGAAAACATGAAAAGCTAAGGTACAAAAAAAGGGGGGAAAGGTAATCCTACTTGCTACCTACTAAACTAAAGCATAGTATTATTACAATAGGCCTATCCTGTAAAACTTCAGATTAGATCCTACCTGGCAATATTACATTTAATGGCCTATCATTTAAATTGATTTTTTCCCTATTGCTAACAATAGAAGGAATGCTCATATTTTTAAGTTTTCAAGCAGAGACGTTCTCAGGAGTAAGGGGGCCTATCTATCTGATGTCTTTTGAGGGGTGCTAGGAAGGCTCCCTAACCAAGTACATCTCTTCTACTAGCCTTTAATTCTACAAGTAAAATTTCATTCCTTTGAGTTTTCCATCTTCAATAGTTATTAAAATGCAAACAACCCTGAGAGTGGTGATACCAGTACTATATGCAAAAATTTTATCTTTTAATAAGGCCCCCCAAGTAGTTATGGAAGACATTAAAATGTAACTGGTGTGGGAACACAATGTGACTTCCAGCTGTAGTCCAGATGTTCCCCAAATGGGGCAATACTGCTAAATGCCACAGTGTGCTTATAGCCCTCTATAGTCCCCTAGACTATTGTAAAATCATTTTGGAAATGGCTGTGCTAAAAACAAAAAAGGGATGTGGGGTGAGATAAAAGGGCCCTGGAAGGGGAGGTAGAAATAGATTAGGTAACCTCACCCTATTAGGTAACCTTCACCTGTAAGTCCAAGGCTCCCTAAGCTGTTTCTCCAGCTTCACTGCTTTCCCTGGATACTGACTCAGATTTCTAATTGCTGCAAGACTTCTCGACCTGACTGAGTCTGAGGTACCAGGAGGACATGTTTATGAAAACAGAATTCATTATCTTTTCTCCAAAACCTGCTTCTGCTTACTGATTTCTCAGTAAATACCACCATCATTCTCTGAATTACTCAGATTCATGTTTACCCCTCTCTTTGGTATCTGTTCCTTCTTTTCTTTTCCTACTGCTACTAGCTTCGTTCTGGTCTTCATGATTCCTTGTCTGAACTGTTGCAATAGCCAAACTACTATTTCCACTGCCAGTCTATTCAATAAGCTGCTGCCAAATTAATTGCCATAATAAAAAGGCTCATGTCAAATCACTCTACTCACTGCTTTAAAACAAACAAACAAACAAACAAAAAGAGTCAGTGGTCTTTGGAATGCTGTCTAAACTTTTTAAAGTGACTCTGGACAAGTCACTCTCTTTGTCCCAGTATCCTTAACCGTAAAATGGAGATAATGATAGCACCTACCTCTTGGGGTTATTATAAGGACCAAATGAAATGATATATGTAAAGCATTTTACCTTAAAGTGCATATAAATATTATTATTAATTGTTATTATAATACTCAAGGATCTTTATAATCTGTACCCTGTCTTTCCCGTCTTATTTCATGCTTCTCCCAATGCATCCCAGGCTCTCCTCGCTCTTTGAGTGTGCTCAGGTTCCCTGCTCTCTCTCACCCTCCCCCATCCCCTCATCTCAGCCTGTTGAAATCTTACCCATCCTTTAAGCCCAGCTAAAATGTTGCTTTCTCTATAAAGCTTTCATCATCTGGCTAGCTGGATGTGATCCCTTCTTCCTCTAATTCATACAGCACCTTGTTCATATCTCTCTTAGGCATTTAGGTTCTTTTTTTACATGATAATGCTCCCTTATCTCTCACAGTAGATGGGAAAGATTCTTTATGGGAATGACATCTCATTCACCAAGCAGCTACCTGCTTCGTACAGAATAGACTCAACAGGTATTTGGTGGATACAGAAGATACAATTTCACTTAACTTCAGTCATGCTTAGGGCAGTCTTCTCCTTTTACTTGCTTATTCAATCAACATGCATTTATACAGTTCTTAATACATGCTAGGCACTATGCTAAGAGTTGGGGATAGGAAGATGAAAGAAAAGAGACAAAGAGAGAAAGAAAGAGAGAGAAAAGAGGAAGGAAGGAAGGGAAGAAGGGAGGAAAGAAAAGGGTGTGGGAAGGAGGAAAGGGGAAGGGAAGAAGGAAAAAGGGGGAGGGAGGAAAGGGGGGAGGGAGAGAAAGAAGGAAGGAAGAAGGAGAAAGAAGAAGGGAGAAAGGAAGGAAGGAAGACTAAAAAAGAACAATTTCCACTCTAAAGGAGTTTACTGTCTGCCCGTATCTCCACTATAGCTAATTTTTCTTTATGATTTCCTTTATTACCTTCTCAGCTCACCATGCAGGGATGGCCTTGGCAGCTACTATGACTTAGTTTGTCTTGAGTATTTCTTGTATTTTCCCCTCTTCCTTTCTTTCATAAACCCACTAGGTTCTTTGGAGATCAGTCTCTAATGTCTCAGAAACAGGTCTGATAAGGTGTCACTAGCCTGCTGTTACACCTGCACCATGAGACTAACAGTGGAACTTCAGACATTGTGGCTAGGTCATCTCCTAGATCAGTGATATCCAAAGTGAGGACCAAGGTTCCCTAGGGGGTTTAACCTGATCTCAAAGAGCATATGATTAGGGAGCAGGGGAGAGTAATAGTTACAATTTACATAATGCTTTAAGTTTTGCAAAGTGCTTTACAAATATTATCTCATTTGATCCCCACAAGAACCCTGAGAGATAGGTACTATCGGCATTCCCATTTTATGAATGGGAAAACTGAGGCAGACAGGTTAAGTGACTTGCCCACGGTAGCACATCTAGGAAGGGTCTGAAGTGGGATTTGAACCCAGGTCTTCCTGACTCCAGGTTCATTGCTCTATCTCCATGACTGGAGACGGTACTATCAGCCTTCTAGTCACCCAGATTCACAAGCTCAGTCAGTCTTTGAATCTTCACTAACCATCACCTCACATAAAGCTAATAAGCCAAGTCAAGTATTACCCACTATCTGCTAAATGAAGATCAAAAAAAAAAAGTCCCTGACCTCAAGGAGTTCATGTAAATTTTGTGGCTTCTGTCTCTAGATTGCTCATGTCTGTCCCTTTTTCTCTACTCACAAAGCTACCACCCTAGTCCAGGCCCTCATCACCTTTTGCCTTGACTATTGTAACAGCGTCTTAATTTATTTACCTGCCTTAAGTCTCTCTCCTCTTTAATACATCCTCCACTCAGCTGCCAGAGTGATTTTCCTAACACTCTGGCCTGACTTCTTTACTTAAGATGAAAGAAAGAAAAAGAAAAAGGAAGGAAGTAAAATAAGAAAGAAGGAAGGAAGGGAGGGAGGAGGAAAGAAGAAGAGGTGGGAGGGAGGAAGGGAGGAAGGAAAAGGTGAGGCAGGGAGGAAAGGCAGAAAGAAGGGAGGGAGGAAAAGGGGAAAGGGAGGAAGTCTTTCATACTTAATAAACCCCAGTGGCTCTACATCAAATATTGTTTCGTCATCCTGTCCTTTACAAATGTCTAGTTAAGATGTCTGGTGAGTTTTAAAAATATCATTATTAGTACAGCACAGTAGTACATGGGAGCAACCAGGTGGCACAGTGGATAGAGAGCTGAGCCTGGAGTCAGGGAGACTCATCTTTCTAAGCTCAAATCTGGCCTCAGATACTTCCTAGCCTAGCTGTGTGACCCTGGGCAAGTCACTTAACCCTGTTTGCCTTAGTTTTCTCATCTGTAAAATGAACTGGAGAAGGAAATGGCAAACCACTCTGGTATCTTTGTCAAGAAAACCCCAGATGGGATCATGAAGAGTCAGATATGACTGAAAAATGACTGAAACAAAACAAACAGTAGTACATACATGTAATTTTAAAATTAGTAAATATGCATTCATCGGGAGTTAGTGCTCAAAAATTGTTTACTAATGGGGTATACAATCAAAAAAGTTGGAAGACCACTGCCTTAGGGTATAGGAAATGAAATGGTAACCCACTGTGACGTAGTGGCTTAGAATGGTAGCCAGTAGGGGAGGATATGGAGATATGCTGTTTACTTGGGGGAGGTGGGGGGAGGGTCTAGAGAAGTACCAGAGGCTGACATATTATTTGTTAACTAACAAACTCTTCTAAAAAAAGGCTGAGATGGTACATCGCTTTTAACACAAACCCCTCAGTTTTCTTTTCCTGACTTCTTTCTCCTCTCCAAGGCTGGCCTTGATTACAGGTTTCTTCTGGGGCAGCAGGGATGACCCTAGGCCTCAAGTTCCCAACTGTGACATTTGGCTAAAGATGAATTGGAAGTTGAACTAAAGCCAGAAGGGACCTTCTCCCCCAGAAACCATTTAGTCCAACCCCCTCATTTTACAGGAAGGTCTTGCTTAAAGACATATAGGTAGGAAGTTGTCAAGATGTAAGATTTCAACTCAGGCGCTCTGGCTCCACAGCTAGTATTCTTTCTACTGTTATCATGGAGAGATATTTGTCAGGTGGGGAAAGACACCTTTACTATCTTTGAGGTGACACTATGACACTCCTTCGGCCAGGGTCTAGCTTGTTCAGTTGTTTCAGTCATGTCTGACTCTTGTGACCCCATTTGGGGTTTTCTTGGCAGAGATAAAGGAGTGGTTTGCCATTTGCTTCTCCAGCTCATTTTATAGATGAGGAAACTGAGTCAAACAGGGCTAAGTGACTTGTCCAGGGTCACACAGCTAGGAAGTGTCTGAAGCCAGATTTGAACTCAGGAAGATGAGTCTTCCTGATCTAGGCCCCAGCACCTTATCCACTGTGCCACCCAGCTGCCCCCAGGGTCTAGCTTACCCTTTTCAAATTCCAAGTCACTGTTCCTTGCCCTGGCACTACTCCCTCCTTCCTGCCCCCTCCCCTTTGTCCCCAACAGACTCAAATAGATTTGAAATGGATCAGACAGATTATGTTCCTTAGGCATTTACTCCCTATCCAGACCCATCCTATTTCATTTCAACTCACCTTTCTCACAGAGACCTTTGAGAAAGAAGGTACATACAGCCACCCCTGATTCTAGAAGGGAAGAAGAAAACAGCCCAAGTTGTGGAGTTTACTTCTGTCCTTACCTCTCACCTTTAAAAAAGAAAAAAAAAATCTTACTATCCCAGAGCATAGGGACCTAGAGAATCCCCATTCGTGGTAAGCATCAAATAACCACAGTATCACACCCCTTCCTAAAACTAACTTAATTCTCTCTTTCTCTCTCTGTCTCTCTCTGTCTCTGTCTCTGTCTGTCTATCTGTCTGTCTGTCTGTCTGTCTGTCTGTCTGTCTCTCTCCCTCTCTCTCTCTCTCTCTCTTTCTCTTTCTGTCTCTGTCTCTCTCTGTCTCTCCTCTTTCTTCTGCTGTCCCTCCCCCCTAATAGCTTGTGTAGGAGCACTGAGCTGGGAAGCAGGAGATCTAGGTTCAAAGTTCAGTTCTTTACTCTGATCACCTTATCTCTCAGGATTCTCAGAACATACCATATGGAAACGACTATGTAGTTGCTGGCCCCTTGGGGGAGCCTTGGGGAAGATAAGAGATCAGGTCTGAGCTCCTGAGTAAAAGGGTTATTCTTGAAATCCTAGATCAGACCAGGTGGCCTTTGATTTAGCCTTTCCTTTCTGGCCAGGGAAGTGTGTGCTGGCACATAATGAAGAAAGAATGAAAGAGAAAGGCTAGGCAGTCTCACAGGCCCCTTTGGCAGTCTGTGATCCCATGAACACCCTTCTCAGATAAAGTTTTTAAATGTACAAAATAAATACATAGGATTACAAAGAAAACCAATTCTATTGAAAAACAGTCATAATTTTGCTTAAAAGTTCATGGACCCCAGATTAAGAACCTTAATATTAGTTAAAGAAATATCAAGAGGAGATAGGAAGGACCCCCCCACTTAGAAGCATGGCCAACTATTATACTCCCCTCACCCCCCACTTACTGTCCATTCCTGGGAAGGGCAGGAACCCAATACCCGTCTGGTTCTCCACATCATCCTCAAGATCAAAGATGATTTTCTCCAACCCAGCAATGACTTCCTGCATTTTTAGCCTTCTCCTTGGAGTTAACTTAGTTTTAACCTAGAGGCCCTACAGGTGAATCCTATATATAGCTTACCACAGGGTCAGCTAAAGGGGCCCAAGGACTAATTTCCTTTCCTAGTTCCTCATTGGTTTTTCTTTACTTGTGAATTCTTGGTTGTTCCTTAGGAAGCTGGAGTGCTAGGACCCTTCTGTACAGACAATCTTAGGGTGCCAAACACACACCAAGTCAGAAAGTGGTGTGAACAAATGAGAGGGTTTTCTAATGTCACCAGTGCTAAAGAGTTTTCTCTTTCAGTATGTAACTCCTTTCTGGGTCACTGATGCTCCTTACCACCAGAGCTTATTAATTGCCTTTTAATATTCCCTAAAACACAGGGATTCTTTTTTTTGTAATTAATGTATTTTATTTTCATTTCCAAATTCTCTCCATCCTCCCACCTTTCCCTTACCCATTGAGAGGCAAGAAATACACCCATTATACATATGAAGTCATGCAAAATGTATTTCCACGCGAACCATGTTGTGAGGGAAAAAAAGTGAAAAAAATATGCTTCAAACCGACGCAGAGTTCATCAGTTCTTTCTCTGGAGGTGGACAGCATTTTTCATCATCAGGATTGTGGTGAATCATTGTATTGATCAGAGCAGCTAAGTCTTTCATAGCTGATTATCATTGCAAGATTGCTGTTACTGTATACAATGTAAAACAGGGATTCTTAACCTTTTTTGTGTCAGGACCCTTGTGGTAATCTTTGGTAAAAGCCCTTCTCGGAGTAATATATATTGCCTACATCTGTAATAGAAAAAAATGCTGAATGTCAGTTCTAAGTTAGTAAAAACAAAAATGGAATTTTTTTTTGCATACAATTCACAGACACCCTAATATCTGTCTGGGGACCCAACCTGCTCTAAAGCTATTAGAGAAAGAAATAAACTAAACAAGGTTATTATGCAAGAAAAGTGACTCCTTTACTCTTAGCAGTTCTGCTACTGGGCATGTACCCTAAGGAGGTCAAAGAGAAACAAAATTTCGACACATACCAAAATATTCATAGCATTATTTTTTTGTGTGTGGTAGCAAAGAGCTGAGAACAAAGTGAGTGCCCATCACTTAGAGGATGGCTGAACAAATTATGGCAATGAATGTAATAGTATATTATTCCGGAGTAAGAAAAAACCCAATATGAGGAATCTTCAGGGAAACATGGGAAAATATATATAAACTGATGTGGAGTGAAATAAGTCAAATCAAAAGAACACAATGATCACAACATAAATAAAAAGATCACTAAAAGCAACAGGGACTCTGAGTAACTGAAAAAAAATGATCCCAGAAAACAGATAATAAAACCTACATTCCTCCATCAATAGAGAAATGGGGACCCTCAAAGCACAATGCTGCATTTGGACTGGTTTCAGAATTATTTGTTTATAGTTAACTGTTCTTCAGAGTTACTAGGGACAGGTCATTTCCCAGGTGTGAGGAAGCAGTGGGAATGTGGAAGGGGACTAGAGTAAATCTAGAAGTGAAAGTGATATAAAAACAAAAGGCATAATAAAATTTACTGGTTTGCAAACCATGTTTTAAATGATAGAAAATAGTTAAATAAATGTCACCTAGTTTCTTTCATTCACTTAATAATAGTTAGAATTTTTTTAAAATTCGATTTTATTTTATTTTTAGTCCTGAATCCTCTCTCTCCCTCATCCTTACCTACCCACCCATTGAGAAGGCAAGAAAAACAAAACCCATCACAAATATATATAATCATGCAATACAAATTCCCACATTGGCCTTCCTCCCACCCCCTCCCAAAAAAAAGAATAAAAGAAAGAAAAAAAAGAAAAGAATATGCTTCAGTCTGTACTCTGAGACCATCAGTTCTCTATCTGGAGTGGGTAGCATGTTTCATTATGAGTTTGGTCTTGTGTTGATGAGGAAGATAAGTCTCTCAAAGTCATTTGTTTTTATAATATTATTGTTGTATAGATTGTTATCCTGGTTCTGCTCACTTCACTTAATGTTATTTCATACAAGTCTTCTCAGGTTTTTTCTGAAACCCATCTCCATTATTTCTTACAGCACAATAGTATTCTATCACATTCATATATAATACTTTGGTCAACCATTCCCCAGTTGGTGGGCATCCTCTCAGTTTCCAATTCTTCATCACCACACAAAGAGCTAATAGCTAGCATTTATATAGTACTTTAAGGTTTGCAAAGCATTTTATGTATGTAATCGCATATGGTTCTCACAACAACCCTGCAAGGTAGGTACCATTATCAGTTTTCATTTACAGATGGAGAAACCAAGGAAGAAAGAGATTAGGTGACTTGCCTCAAGTCATGCAACTAGTAAGTTTCTGAGGCAAGAGTCAAACTCAGGTCTTCCTGACTCCAAGTCTAGCACTCTAACCAGTCTAGCACTCTAACCAGTCTACCACCCAGCTTCCTTCTCAGGCACTCACTCGAGTTTAGCTCAAAGCTTGAACTGTACAACCAAAGGAAGAAGAACTCAAGCTTCTGCCATGTAGCATAAAATAAGAGATGTCTGCGTCATGAAAGATGACAATATTTGCTTCCTGTCCAGGCAACTCTATATTCTGGCTCTTTAGCCTCCTCTTCCTAGGCTGGGTGACTTTTGAAATAGCATCTAAGTGAATATCTGAAGGTCCATAATAAATAAGGACACCTCCTACCCCCAGCCCTAAATTACCCTTCCTCGCTAGTCATCTGCCTATACTGTCAATACCCTTGGCAAGGCTCCTAGAGAGGCAGTTTGCCATAGCTGCAAGGACCCTGAGACTTGTCTTCAAGCAGGCCTGATCCTGCCTCTTAATAGCCGTGTTCCTGTGATCAGATCTTTCTGGGCCCCAGTTTCTGCACGTGTAAAATGAGGATAGTACCTGAGCTACCTTCCTCATAGGAATATTTGGGAGAAAACACTTTGGGGGTGTAGATAGCTGGCTGGCACAGCAGACAGAGTGCTGGATTTGGAGTCAGGAAGACCCACATTTGAATCCTGTCTCAGATACTAGCTCAGTAACCCTAGGCAAGTCACTTCACTTCTGTGTTCCTCAGTTTCCTCACCTGTAAAATGGGAATAATAATAATAGCACCAACCTCCTTGGAATTGTTTGTGAGGATCAAATGAAATAACATTAAAATGCCTCATAAACCTTAAAGTGCTATGTAAATGCTAGATATCCTTAATAATGATTTATGTATTATAATATTATCTTCTTAATCATAATAGTTACTATCTAGATATATAGCTCTTACTATGTGCCAGATGGGCAACTAGGTGGCACAGTGGATAGAGTGCTGGGCCTGGAGTCAGGAGGACTCATCTTCCTGAGTTCAAATCCAGCCTCAGAAACTTCCTTAACTATGTGACTCTGGGCAAGTCACTTAACTCTGCTTGCCTCAGTTTCCTTATCTGTAAAATGAGCTGGAGAAGGAAATGGCAAACCATTCCAGTATCTTTGACAAGAAAAACCCAAATGGGCTCACAAAGAGTCCGACATGACTGAAAGACGACTGAACAACAACATGTACCATTGGCTAAGTGCTTTACAACTTCTTTCTTTCTCTTTCTTTCTTCTTCTTCTTCTTCTTCTTCTTCTTCTTCTTCTTCTTCTTCTTCTTCTCTTCTTCTTCTTCTTCTTCTCCTTTTTCTCCCCCTCCTCCTCTTCCTCCTCCTCTTTTTCTTCTTTTTTCTTCTCTTTTTCTTCCCTTTTTTCTCCTCCTCCTATCTTTTCTTCTCCTTTTTCTCCTCCTTCTCTTTCCTGTTCTCCTCCTTCTCTTTTTTCTTCTCCTCTTTCTTCTTGTGAGTATTGAGGTATTGAGGTGTTGTGGCCAGTCTAGAGTCAGGAAGACTCTTGTTCAAGTTCAAACCCTGACACATTCTAGGTATGGGACTATTGGCAAGTTCCAGTGCCCTTTTGAGCCATAGTGTCAAACTCAAATAGGATGGGGGCCATTAATGTATACATAAAGGTCTCTGCAGGCACATGTGGATTTCATTTTTCAAAAATGTAATGTTATCTACGTTTTATTGTATTTTTATCTTTCCAAACATTTTCCAATCACATTTTAATATGGTTGGGGCTACATTTGGGGGCTGCATGTTTGACACCTCAGCCCTAGACATCTCTATAAGACTAGAAGGTTTAGTGGCCACCCTGCTTCTGTGGGATGTCTCCTAATAGATGAAATCACTGGATTTCTTCCCTCCCCCCCCCATATATGTTATTATTATTATCAGGATTTCCTTGGCACAATAAGTTAGGAATGAAATGTTTTTCAAGAGTCACTGTTCCAAACCTTCAGACCTCAAGTTCCAGAAGGACTCATGTCTTTCTTGAATGTCTGTTTGTTTAGTCATAGCAACTATTATAGCTCCTCCTTCCTTGTTACCTGGGCTATGGGCCTAAGCATGTTTGTTTGCTTTCCCGGGGCTATGGGCCAGGATTTCTTGTTCCTTTGAACTCCAAGTGAGAAAATACATTCAACAGAGGTTTTATATGTTTGCCTGTCATCCTCTTAGCTAGACAGTGAAGCCCAGGAGGGCTGGGAGCTAAGTTCTATCTAATCTTTGTATTACCACCCCCTTTCTGCCCCCCACCACTCCCAGGAGCCAGTCACAGAGTCTAAATAAACAGCAGCCCTTCAATATTTGTTGAAGTTGTAGTTGAAGTTGACTTTCACAGGGAATTGAGCAGAGGGGACCAAATCCTATATTTTTCAGCAGCCTTGACTTGGTTTAGAACAAGAACATTGAGAAAAGGGGTAGGAGGGGCAAAACCAAGGTCTGGTGGAAAGGAGGACAGGAGAGATCATGGGTTAGGAATCCTTGCCCACATGATTGTTTACTATGTTCTTCTGATGTTCTTCTGTCTACTGAGAATTCTGGGAGTTTGTCATAAATTGAACCAGAATTGGAGCTTGGACACTTCTACCTAAAAGTTATGTAGCCTTGGTTAAATCATTTAATCT